CAGTGATAGGGCCGAAAACTCACTTTACAGGCTAAATACGCATTCGATCACCTTCACAATGCTTAACAGAGTCGAATTTATGGACCATCTCTGAGAAAATGACCGTCATCTGAAACTTTATCAATTAATCTTTCGAATGCTTCAGGCATTCTTTGATTGAGACATTTAAATAGAGGCTTGAAGAACTCTGAATGACATAATTTCTATACATCTCAACACAACACATCAGCCGCCACCCATCAATATCAGCGACGACGCACGCATTCGAGGACATCATTGTGTCCTGTTGAACGGAAACTACGCCTAGTCAATCGGTTCGTTATAGTCGAAATACCAGCCTCAGTTAAGAACGAGACAAAGAGAGCGAAAACAGATAAACAATTCGTTGGCTTCAGGCGTCTAGAATTTCATCATAATGAAAAACATGAATTCACATTCTTCTTACTGATGGAGATGCACAAGATTCGAAAGGTTCTCATTCCACTTAATAAAGCTGAACGTGATACATCGCTTCTTGTGAATATGTGTGTGTGTGTGCGTGCGTGCATATGTGTGTGTATGTATGTGTACATGTGTTTGTGTGCGTATATATATATATATATATATATATGTATGTGTGTCTATGTCTGTCTGTCTATATGTGTAACGTGAAAGACGTAATTCCACAGATGGTCGAGGAGGACTACATGTTCGGGATAGAGATTTTCTTCCTCTTTATCACATAAACACATAAAGATTTCACACAAACGTCAAACACGATCATTTCTAAACCAGCTTTACTTTATGGACAAAAATCGTCACCAACCCGAGATGATTTACAGGAGCATGTTTAAGCAGCAGTATGTAATGTGTTTCCGTTCAATATAAGCTGTTTTCAATACACATATGCCAGCAAACGACAACGCACTGAGAGCGTAGAAGAAACACTGGGAGTGCGTGTAAATGAAAATCAACGATAATGCAAAAGTAATCAATGAAATATAGGCGATACTTCAGAGCGAAACCATTTGCTGTTCTCGATAGATGAACAACAATTTTGTGTTCTGACACACAACGACCGACTGACGTATTCGTTTCGATACGTGGGTGTACGAGAATAGTTGAAGCTCTCAATCAAGTTTAAACACTTATGAAGACATATTTGAACTTACAACGAACTTCATCAGTTGAAATGGAAATCGTTAAAATATCCAGATCTTACAAAAACTGGTTCTTCTTTTTCTAGAGTAAATTTCTTACTCTTTGCAGCCCATCAAACCTTTTTCTTTTTTTTTTTTCGTAGAGAGTCGTGTTTGGAACACCAAAGCGCTCTAGTTGTCGGGATTTCGTAGAACGAGGCACTACTGTGTAGTGTTCGTAGTTACTACTGCATTAAAGCGTGGAAATAGCAGATTAGAGTCGATGTGGAATAGAGTCCTTGCAAATGATACGGACGATACAACTCATGATTTTTAAGTGTTCTCCACAAACAAAGAAAGGTTCCGAATATCTTTCTAATTCCCAAAGGAAATGCGCGGGCTCAAGCAGCACATCTTCTATTTAATTGGAATACTGTTGGATTAGCAATCCTTTAGCCCCGAGAAGCAGGTGTTAGTGGTTTCTGTTGGTAGCATAACGGAGAGTTTGCTGTTGTCGAACGGCGGGATATTCGCCGCTTTCTGAGTCTCCTAGGATGGCGGAAAATTAAATTCGACTGGACAGAGTTTCGGAAAGAAAAGTCCGGTTCTTCCTCAGAGTGCATGACTTGGTTGCAGAATGATCTATTTCGAACAGCCCAAAATACAGGCATCCATGACGAGGTTGCAAACCACTAGGGAATATATACATACACATGTATATGTATATATATATATATATATATATATATAAATCTTAATATCCTTGCTGGTAAAAGTGATGAAAAGAGAACAGATGAGAGTTTGTAGTGGCAAAAACCCAGTTCTGCAAAGAATTATAACATAACACAAAATACATAGTTTCATAAACGCAGACATGACAGTATAAGTGTTTAGATTTTGGTAGGTCAAGCCAAAAAAATTTAAAACAACATTTCGAACAAGATTCTAGTTTACTTGAGAGTGTTACTCTCTAACCATAAAACATCAGTTCAGCAAACCTTAACATGTTTGTATTAACGAGAACAACTTTGGACGTTAACAAACATAAACCCAAAATAATCTTTAAAGTTCTAGTAATGAATATAAGATATATTAAGCATTAAGGAGAACGTACTAATAGAAGTAGTAAGTAAGAATTGTTCAACGAATCCAAGCTTGTAGAACACTTAATCTATGCTTTAGTGTTGAAAGTTTGACGACAAATAACAAATATTCTATACACGAATCGTTCATATGGATCTGAATCATAACAGGACGACTTCTCCATTTTATTATGCTTCTTTTTCCTTTCTTCATGAAATTTCTTCAATAAATCAAACATTCGAACGATAACGTCAGCCAACTAACGCAATAAGTTCATGAAGAGGTGATGAAGACTGAATGACTGAATGAATGAATTAATGGATGAATAACTATGCAGTAAGACGTAATTGCAAGTACTTCCAGATGAAGTTAGTGCATGAAAAGGCAGGAATCGATACTTAGTTGGTACATCGTTCTCACGTCTCCCAGCATAACTATGAACAGAAGAAGAAGAAAAAAAGACAAGAAAGGAAAGAAAGAGGGAACGAACGAAACAAAAACGAGTAACAATAAATGACTGCCTACACCTGAGATGATTTCCCCTAGAAAGATTCACTGCGCTACACAAATCATACATTCAGGTGATTTCCTTCGGCGTTTCCATGGGAGAAAATTTCATGAGATGTTAGAACTACTTACCATTTTCACAATATTTTCTCGTCATCGTTCTTAAAATTTGCTACCACTTAAAAAACCTTTGCATTCACAGCATTCGAATATGAAAGAATAACTGAAACTAAACAGAATTTTACGAAACTGAACTAAAGTCATTGAAGTGAAGCATAGAATATGAGTTCTAAAAATATGTACATATATGCACAATCGATTAGCCATATGAATTTAGCAAAACTTATTTCAACGAAGCATTAAACTGAGGAGGGAATGATGAACGGAAATGAAGATAATCATGACGACAAGAGCACGAGATAACTTCAAATACGAACAAAGCCGTATCAAACTATAAGATCCTGTAAGCTATCTGGAATTATCCACCACGACTTCATAATGGGAATCAATCACTTTGGTTCCTAACTATTCGAAACATGAAATGATATCAGTTGAGCAAAAAAAAAACGATGCGTTAAACATCAGCAGTTTACTCAAGGACATAAAGCAGAGTATATATGAAACATTCACATATACTAACGTTATACTAAAGTCTTCGACAATCAATAAAGATCAGTAGCAACCAATACCAGCAACAACAGATAGAGATGAACTGTGAACCGTGAGGTAATTGCTAGGGTGCACGCTTCATTGTTTGACAAAGAACACGACGAAATGCGGAGGGTATGAGAGCGTGAAAGAGCGTCCCGGGCAACAGAGACCGCTCATTGAGTGGAGAAGCACGAGGAAGTCACGAGACAACGAATCCAAAAGCGACGAGGAAAACGCTAAGCTGGCAACCGGTATGGCCTAGCTTACTCCGGCCCTGCACCGAGTCAACCTCCCCCCGACTCGGCATGGCCCGACTCAGCCCGACTCAGCCCCATTCAGCCCGACTCGACTCGGCACGGCCTGACTCAGCTCTACTGGACTCTACTCAGCGGGACACGTTTCGACTCTGCTCGGCTAGGTTGAGCTTGTCTCCTGTAGACCAATGACCAGTAGCAGTCTACATAACAGTATCTAGGTCACTGAGTGAACGTTAACATTTTGTTTTTTCCAGTACATCTAGCTTATTTGCTTCCCAATACTATCTCGGACTGATCGGAAATTAAAGTATATTTTCAAAAAAAAAGATGAAATTTGTGATTGCATAATCCTCTTTGAAATAAGGAAATGAAGACATTGATCATAACTAACGGATAGGTGACACTAAATTTAGGATCGTTGTTTCTATGGGGGTAATTAAACAGCGTACATGGTAAGACGTGAAAATTTTCGACATCGGAATTATTTTAAAAGAAGTGAATAAACTATTGGTACTCACTTAAACATGCAACATTGCTGGCCAGGATAAGTGTTGTACATCTCTCTGATTACTTCTTTAACTTCAATCAAGCCTTTTCAATTGGCTCGTGGGATAAAACTGCACTAACGAAGTTATTCAAAAAAAAAGAAATTTTCGAATCGATTTATTCTTAAAATGTCTTGTTAATAACTTCACGCTTTCTAGGAATGACTTTATATGTAAAAGCGTCACAAGAACAAAATCTATAACACTAATCATCTTTGTGAAGAAAAACAACTTCCTCATTGCGCTTACGGTAAAATTCCGTGCTACTGTCAAGACAAGAAAAGACCTCTTTTTTTGAGCAAATCCTATTTTCTTTTGTGATCAGGGTGAGAGGCGTGTCTTGAAAACGACGGGTAATCTATACTAGTTATTTGTCTCAACTTAAAAATCGTATTCACACGCCCAACAACTACTGGAATTTCGAGTTAACTTAATATCCATTCTTTCACAATTCTACTCAATTTGCCATGTAGCTCATGGCGAGATTTTTACGAAGAAATTTTTTTATCATTTTACTAATTCAAATTCTTTCAGGAATAGCACAATACCTGCTGTTAATGTAGCTCCACGGCAATCGCACCGCGACCGCACGCTTGTCCTAATTTAATCAGGATAGTACTTGTTTCAAAGTCATTTACTCCGCTCATTTCATGGAGAGTGACGTTATGTCTTTGTTTGTACACCTCATTACTTTTCCGTCGAAACCCGTTACTTTTCCTGTGAATCCAGTGCTTGGATGTCATGTTCCAATTATGTATAGCCACACTAATGTACAATCAATGCCGATTTATAGAACCGTTGACTTCGATATCTTTAGTTTTGGAATTTTTCGTTTCAGAATGTTGAACGGTGTGAGTAAAGCCCAATTGAAACGCTTCATAAAGAGGCTGCTTTTCATGGCATCGCTTGCTCTTCTCACTGTGAGTTTCAGCCGTAGTACCATACCGTAGGTGTGTATGTGTGTGCGTGTATGTGTGTGTGTGCATTCTGTGTACGTGTGTATCTACGTGTGTATATGTGCATGTATCTATGGTGTTGACATTTTTTTCCTTATACAATATTACTATATTCGCATGGTGAGCAGTAGAGTACTTTTAGACTATGGGCGTAAATTCCTTCGTAGTTGGTGTGTGGTTAATCCTTGATAGAACCGATTTCCAGGATCTGATTCCGTCTTCCTTTTCTGGTTGGTTTATATACCGATTTTTTTTTGTAATTACTGTATGCCATAGTTGCTTGGAGCATGCTTTTCAATGTCCTTTTCTTTTGTTTGCTTTGCCTTCTAACGAAGTTTTGCACTTTATGAATGCAGCTATAGACCGTTTTCACATGGTCTTACAGTGGAAACATCTCATGGCTAGCTAGGTTTTACTTCAGGTTTCTTAGATTAGTTTTCGGGTTTGTTGGAAATGGACGAAAGTGCTCTCCTAGCGATTTACCGCTTCATCGTGGCTGGGAGGTATTCCCGGGTGTCGGGGACTGCGATGGACAATGGACAACAGAGGCATTCATACCCCCCTCCCCCCGCGTCCCCTCCGGCAGAGTTGTTCAGGCTGAGAAGGAGTCCATCGTTTCCATCAGAGGGACCCCAGCTACGACTAAACTAGTACTAGGATCCACCACCGTCTTGGTGTCAAAGTAGTCGCTTGATGGAAAATCTCCCTCTGATTCACAAAGGCGGCAACTGTCTGTGGTGATGACGACCTGGGGTAGACTTTCATCTGGCTGATCTCAGTAGTCCAAGGAACTACAATGGCTAAACCAGCGAAACTCCGGAAAAAATGGAGACTGTGCTGGGTCCCGCACGAGTGAGGATGGGTCATCTAAGTGTCCAAGTAAGGTTGAACGTGCTTGCTTATCAATCAGTAAATATTCCCAAGACCGACTTTCTGTTAACCTCGGCATTAATTGACAATTCAACGTTTTTTCTTCAATAAGCAGACACGAGGTTGTTAATATAGAATTTATTAGAATAGAATAGCTGACGTTTCGGCGGTTTCGCCTTCTTCAAAGCCGTTTATTTCTTGTAAGCATTTAAGTTAGTTGATGGATAGCCGCCGCACAGAGTAATACATGGGCGATAAGTTATCGGCCGCCCGTTACACCGCCGAAACGTTAGCTATTGTATTCTAATAAATTCTATATTAACAACCTCGTGTCTGCTTATTGAAGAAAAAACATTGAATCAGTAAACAGTTTTAGAAATGTAGAGAGCATGTGATGGAAGATTTGTATTTACATTATCGTTGGGAACTTGGTGACTTTGTAAATCGTATTTATTTTCTGTTATTGCCTCTGATTCAGTTGCCTCTACGGCTGCAATGTGTTGTACGACAGGTGTCGCTGTATGTGTCGTATCTGTTGTTGGGTGGATCAGTGTTAGAACGTGTAATCGTAATCTTCTGAATACGGTGCAGAACTGATTTTTACGTTCTCTAGGCTTCTTCGATTACCTAAAGTTTTGCAAACTATCACTTTGTAGTTCGCTGCTTTCACCTTTCTTCTGATCGTCGTTCAAGTTTCCACTTGTATTCTTGGTATCGCTTACAAGGTGAGTTAAAACGACCTGAATGCTGCATTGGTTAATACAAAGTTGCTTTGCAGTATTCTACACACGATCGTGTACGACGCGACTTATTGACAAATATTAATCGCACGTCTTTGGTTACTGGAGAACATGCATACGATTTGAGTGTATCGTGGGATAGGATACAGAAGTCGGTAAGTGTCTTAAACCTGCTGTCTTCAAAATATGATTAGTTACAAAACAATCAAATCTTTTCGTTTTACTGGAACATAGATTCCAATGTGAAAATATTGGACGTGAACTGCTACACCTAATACCGCTATCATTAATTTACTAAGTTTCCAGTCCGTTGTTATTTTAAACCTTCCAACGGTGTACCGCCTCATCATGGCTGGGAGATGTTCCTGGCTGTCGGGCTGCGATGTATAGCGGAGGATTCATTCTCTGCAGGGTCTCCTAGGCTGAGAGTTGATATTTCTACCGTCTTGATATCAAACTAGTTACATGGTGGCAAATCCCTATCTGATCCACAGGAGTGGCGACTGCCTGTGGTGGTGAAGACCTGGGGCAAACTTTGGCCATGCTGTTTTCGGGACTCCAGAGAACCACAATAGTTAAACCAGCAAATTACCGGCGAACGGAAATTATGCGGGAGCCCGCGCAACCACTGAGGACGGGCCATCCTGGTATCCAAGTAAGAGAGTAGCACAAGTGAGATCTCTGTTGGTAATTGATTTCTGATTTCCACTAGTTCAAAATTTTGTTTTGGAAAGAAACCTCTGTAATTGAAGAACTGAACGTCGCTTTTGAGTAATAATTGTTCAATCTTTTTCAATACGTGAAGATTGTGAAGATTTTACGAAAGAGTGTTTATCCCCCAATATATTACGCAGAGAAGTTGCATATTTGGAGCTTACCTCATCTGGAACATTTTAATCTATAGCTGGAATGTTGTGGAGTGGACCACGAATACGACTGGTACTACTCTGTTCGTTGGCCTTCAAAGAGATTCGTTCCGGATAGTTGCTGTAATTCATCCCTATTTTCCGATGTCGATTCCATGAATAACTGCGGAAAAATGGATGACCGTGCAATCCTTTTCCACAATGTAGGTTACAATTACAGTGTTAATTCTTGCTTTTATTTTTGAACGTTTAAGAAACTTTTAACCAGAGAGGAATCTGTTTCCGTTTTTTCCGGATTTGCTTTTCCGTTACTTCTGTTTGAAGGGTTGCTTCGAAGTGTTTGCGGACTGGCTATATCATCACGTCTCAGTTATGAATTGGGCTTCGTTTTCACTACTCATCACTGAGGTATGTGCAATATTTAACACTTAGAATAAATGGAAGGCTGAGTTTGCGAATTCGTTGCTTTAGGTAATATGTTTTTTTATCGCTGTTGATTTGTACAAATCGAAATCATTTTTTGCAGTATCATCGAGAGAAAGGTTGGTGTAAAGTTGATTTATGCTGATCCGCTTTATAATCATTGTATTAGAACGGTGTATATATAGTGCACTAGGGAAGGGAGCAATCTTCGCAGTATTAGATACGCTTTTCTCACTTTTTTAAAAGAGTTTACAGTCATTGTCTCTTAACACTTTAGTGCTAGTTGTGATGACTATCAACGCTGTTTGGTGGAAATGAGTGTGATGGATGGAGGCTATCCTCATCATTCTGAGTCTATGGAAAGTTTTATTGGTACTGGTCGAGATGCTTTGGACAGCAGCTTTTGAGTTATCGGGGTTATGTCGAGATTGTTCTTGTATCTGTTCCAATCCAGTACTGAGTCTTTGTGGCGTTTACTGATTATTGTGTGCCTCAGTGCAATTTTTTAAAGTTTTTTTTTATCGTGGTACTTGTCGTTTTGATTATTTTACTTGTCTTGTTCTGAGCTTTTTCCTTTAAGTTTCCTTATTCTGAGTTTAAGTGAAGAATTATTACGGTTTTCCACGAGACAGGTCTTCCGACTATGAGTTTAAAAGTATAATATTTGATGCAGGTATTGATTTTTATCCAAGAAGCCAGTGATCATTAGTGCCGTCTGTATTCTTCCTATTGTGTCCTTTATATACTAGTCAAGAATTAGGTTTTATTATGCGTACCTCGTACACAATGTTTCAAATCATGTTTAGTTATTTATTCCGATTCGTGTCATCATTCATAATGTGATTGAAGGTTCAATTGATAGTGTGCAGCAGCATCTGAAATCCAGCAATTTACGAACATAATCCGTGCAAGTGGATTATTCATGTTGTAGATGTTTGCTTTTTTCTTTCTTTTTTACTGAAAAGGACGCGTGTGGCGTAATGGTCGGAGGTGCCCTGCAATACACACACATGGAATCGATACCGCGCCCATGGCCAACCAAGCCTTCCATCCTTCCGGTGTCGGCAAATTGGTGCGAGATTTGTCTGGGAGGATTGCAGCACGGGCTCTATACATCGGTAGGCCACGGTGAGTCATTGTAAAGGCCAGATATGCATCCAATCACCTTCAAAAGGTGCTTAATGAAATCGAATACATGGCGCATCCCTCAGGATTTGATCAACGTTGAGAGCTTCATCCTTTATTCTTTTATAGATGTCTGCTCAAACCATACTTACTTGGATACTTAGACGGCCTGTCGTCACTGGTTGTGTGGTCACCAGCGTATGCTCCATTTTTCGGAGTTCTGCTGGTTTAGCCATTGTGTTTCCCTGTAGTCCCGAGATCAGTCTGACCAAAGCCTGCCCCAGGTCGTCATCACCACAAGCAGTCATCGCCCTTGTGATTCAGAGGAAAATTTGCCATCATGCGACTAGTTTGATACCAGGACGGTGGTGATTGCTCAGACCATACTCTTCATAACATGTACAATCTAATCATGAAGTATTTTAAAGTAAAAGGAAGGGAAATTTAAAAGCAATGCCTAAATAAGTCAGGATGCAGTGATTTTCTTTCAAAAGCACTAATAAGATTTTATTTGCTATGGTCTATGAAGAGCTTACCCTAATGTTACTAATGCGAAAGGAAGTAATGATCCCATTGTGTCCTTTTAATGAATGGTATTCTATCATTAATGGTACTCGCATGCTCTATTTTTTCTCTGTTCGACACTCAATTTTTTACGGGATTTACAACCAAGTGGGAACAAAACACTCTGCATTTTTAGAATTTACACTGCTATTAGGCATGGAAGTTTGACGACGTATGAGAGGTGGATGGATGGAATAGGGAATTTAGAATCTGGCGCTATAGATCTAATAACAATCAGCTTGGTGTCCTCCAATTGCAAGTCCAAATGTTCAAGAACAGATATAAATCGCGGCCGTATAGAGGCTATTAGGAAAGGTCGCAGTAAAATACAGGAGTGAAGTGTTTTTAAAACTACATAATTTGCGAAAAGCTTTACCTTCGATGTTGTTCTGGCTTCTATAAGAACATGTACTTTACAAAAAATTAGCGTTCCTGAAGGGAATTCGCCATTCTGTACGTCTTCGTTTTTTAAAGTGTGAGCTATCTTCACATATTTTGCTGACCTTAGCACTTCTTTCATTCGCAGTTTATCGTCTTCTAATCGCCATCTACGAAACCCTTTCGATTTGCATGTGAATTTGGCTTTATTTGAGATTTTTTTAGTGTCGATAAATGTCGCTGAACGCTAGAGGAGTTGATTCTTACTGAATTCTAGGATAGCTGTGCTAGTTCGTTCCCCACGTCTTCACCACAAGCATTCGTCGATATTCATGGTTCGAATGGACCTCTTCGTTGACGATTTCGGTATAATTTTGCTGATCGCCGAGAGATCGATCGATGACTTCGTTGTTAGTGCACTGCATTTCTAGCTACTGCGCTTGCCTTGGCTTTTAATTTTTTAGATATCATTCCTTTATGGTCCGTTTGACACATCTTCGGTATCTTCCATCTTTTAAGGTCTGGTATTTAAAAATTAGCAATATTTTTCACCGTTTCAAGAGGAGGTAATGGGAAAAACATGTCTACTATTGTGCACTTAGTTTGCATTGAGAAGCACAATACTTGCTTATCGTAGCTGTTTATGATGTTGGGATTCATCCAGTTCCCTTGTTTAAAAATGATATATACCATTGATATTATGTTGAATAGACCAGATCTTGCCGTTTGTGTAAAATGAAACTACAATTCTAAGAACTGTATGTTTTAGGTAATATTGAGTTGGGAATAAAAGGATTTATTTCAAGCATTAATAACCAAATCTTGTATCGATTTTCGACGAACATCTTTATGCCTACTATTTTCTATTGACCCATAGAACATGAACATTTAGCATCACGTGCCTGATGGAGCTATCTTATCATCAAGTTGGCTAGACAGTAAAGAAAAAAGCACACTTCCTAGAACAAGGAAAAAACCACTAAACACACTAGCAGAAGATGAATTTACGATAGCAAATAAAAGTGGTTGCATGTGAAAATTTGATGGAAACTTATTCACAAGTGATGCTAATCGTACGTTTCTCACTAGACTACAGAGGATTTCGCTACTCTTCCTTAGACAATGTCAGCATTTAGCTTTACCACGTCGTTTTTCTGTTCCATGAAATTGCTGGAGATATCGTACTCCTAATGAGCTTGCATCTGACCACTGCTTAAAGGAATTCACATGTCGAAATAGACGCTGCTTTGATCGACACCAGCTCTCACCCAATACCACCTGAAAACGAATAAACTGATTAAGCATTTTTTATTATTAGAGAAAATGTGTTGTTTTGTTGCTCTGACTGACATCGAACACATCGGAATGGAAACCTAACGCAGCACATTGTAAAGAATATGTTTTAGAGTTGTACACCGTTTACTAAGCACGAGCTCTGCTTAAGGGAATATATATATATACTTAATATTCTAAAGCAATGATGTTGACAAAACATTAACAGATGACATTAACAAAGGGATAAAGAGAAAAGCTTTTGCACCATCATGAACTATTTAGTAATTGAAAGTTCTGAATATATCACATTATTTGAATAGAACCCAATTGTTTGTAGGTAGTCAGTTAACCCTCCTAACTACGCAGTCACATAAAATTGTCTCCTTTTCGCAGGGATCAGCTACACAAGTGAGTCAAATTGCTTTAGAGGATGGCAGGACAACGCGCTCTGCTTTAATCACTTCCTAAGAGATGCGTTGGGCAGTACCAAAGTCCATGCATTCAATTAGGACACCACCAATAAGTACAACAAACAGGTCCTCATCGTAGTGATTGAATTTCATGTGAACCGACTTCATGCCATAAAAACAAAAGTGCACTAAAAATATAGACTTTGTACCGTCACGCTAACGACTACAACGTAGCCAATTACTAATTTCGAAAACGGTGACGACGATTCGGGTGTTTCTAAAACCACTTTGCTTAAGGGAATATATGTAAACGAATTTGTTTAAAAATCGTTTGTTCTTTTTTGGGTTCCTAACAATACAAGTCGGGTGTGCGGCCGCAAGTTCCAACGACATCTTTAGGTACAGCCTCGTGATGTGTTAGACGACATCCTAATTATTTAATCCTTCCGCTATTCGAAAGGCCGACATGAAAAATTGCAAAAAAGTCAAACGTGTTCTATGCGCTACAACAAATTAGACATCAATGGAGCACCACTCGAATAAAGCAAGCTCACCTGGCAGCACTTTTTCATAAAGAATGGTTGTTGCTGATAATGACTACCCGCTGATACATTCTCAACGGTCCTCCCAATGGTTTACCACCTCATCATGGCAGGGAGCTGTTCCTGGGTGTCGAACTGCTATGTACAGCGGGAGGATTCGTCCCCCCGCAGGGTCTGCTAAGCTGGGAAGGGATATGTCACAGTCCTGCTATCAAACTAGTCTCATGGTGGCAAATCTCCCCCTGATCCACAATGGCTACGGCTGTCTGTGTTAGTGACGTACTGGGGCAGACTTTGGCCAGGCTGTCTTCGGAACACCAGGGAACCACAATGGCTAAACCATCAAATCTCCTGCGAATGGAAATTATGCTGGAGCCTGCACAACTAGTGAGGGCAGGCCATCCCATATTCAAGTAAATAAGTGTCCATTGATAATAATTTGGTTTTCAACAAGTAATCCAACCTATAGCGGTTTTATATTGGCTCGCACACAGCGAATAGCAAATCAATATTTTTCGAACTGACCGTTATTTTACCTCGTCGCTAATAATCAAAACCTTTTTGGATTATTAAGCTAAGGGACTGTGTGTCATTGACTTGGATCATCAGTTCTATGGAAGACGACGTCGAGATGTTTGCCGAATAAAACTTTTTGTCAACCTTGTGTTAGCGAAATAAATCAGGAAGCTATGGAGATATGTTTGCTTAAACTTGAGTGGTTAAATCATTCTTGGTCACGTGTCGACCATATATTAATCATGGAATTGTACATTGCAGACCGATAGACGGAAACAAGCAAACGATAAAGGAATGGTGGCTAAAAATACAACACTATTTAGAACATTACGTAATTTTAAAACGATCCTTCGAAATGTCATAAACATTCTTTTTACTCCTACATCTCCGTTACGTAGGAGATTTGGCGCAGATTATGTTGCGCGACTTTGGTAGCGGATGGGCATTTAAAAATGAAACAAACATCACCATGTACCTCTCCAGTGTATTTATGGAATATCGTCAACATAGTAGATCTCCTGCTTGCATGTATTAGCATCAAATGATCAGGAAGAGCATAAAAAACGATTTGGGACCTTCTCAACGTTTAACATTGGACAGCCCAACAAAGTTAAAGCAAGAATTGCGACCTTTGGAGATTATGCATCCTTTCAGGCTATTTTCAGGTACTCTTTTCGTTAAAATGGTCTAAATAAAGAGCCTCGTAGAAAGAACATGACACGCTTCTTCCTAATCGAGGTTGTAGCGACCATTCTTCCCAGCTCAAGTGCACGTCGAGAACGAACGGTGGTTCCAGTGATGACGGCACAAGTGTGTCGATGATTAACGTGGTTACAAGTGATAAATGTGACACCTATACAATTTAATTAAAAACGGAAGCTTCCTGTTATATGCGTAAGTAAAGTGTTCTGACATCAAAAACACTTATCACACTGATTTTCGGCACTTCACTGACGTCATGTTCTTCGCAGCAGAAGTAGAAAAAGTTACAAGCAATAGCATGACGGTTAAAAACATCGTAAACTGTGGTAAGAAAAGGTTGGAAAAACAACGATGACGGAAGCGCATTATTTAACAACAACAGACGGATGCGTTGAATATTAAGCCTTTCACGACCATACGCACTGGTTTCAATATATACACTATTGTGCGTTATTTACTGTACATCCTGATTTCATTTTGCATCTGAATTATGCTCCAATGACACGAGGCCCGACGAACCAGCTACGCGAAAATGGTCGAGGTCGTAAATCGGTTAAAGCTTTTCTGTTGTAACAACTATTTGGGAAAACCAGTGTGTGCCTCTTGCAGGGGCTCATGGATCGTACATCTTGATTTCGGTGCACATTTCGAGTACTCGCTGTCTCTTAATTATCTTATTTTCCACGGGATTTAATCATTGTTACTGTCATTAATACTACCACTATTATTACTATGAATATTACTGTCAGTGCTACCATTGTTGTTATTGCTACCAATATCACTGTTATCATCGTTATCAGTCTTATGATTGATACCATTATCATTGTCCTCGTTATTCTCTATTGCGTCCATCACCCTTCCAAACGCAATAAATTTTTCTAACATGTTAAATCTATCATATTTTTTATATTTATTATTGTTATAAAACGCAGATTGTTAAATGAAACAAAAAGCCTACGAATTAAACCGCCAGTAAGTTAATAATTAGTGAAGTAAGAGGTAGTATAAGTTGTTCAGAATTAGCAAACACATGGTCTTACACTACATCTTAATTTTGTGGGACAAATAAACGATTACAGAAGTAAATAAATAAAACGCGTCGTATGATTTAGCATGTAGTTGAGCGAGGCATGCAGACAATTGATGACCTCGGTCTACTGATTGATTAATGTGTTTGCTTTCAGTTTTATTTTTCTCGTTTTAAGAAGGGTTATGACACTAATAAATAACCAACTTGTAAACAGACAAGATCGATTTCTTTCTTTTGATAGATCATATCGACAGCGACAGCATAGTGAACAAGCCGTGACAGATGAACGAGCTGTTGGGGCTGAAATGGTGTCGTTGCCGAAATTGCGGTCAATATTCATTTTCTCCGTAGAAAATTCCAAACCTAGCCGATCGTTGTTTTATAGGAGCACATGTAAGTACTCACATTACTGGTTACTGTAAATTGCTTCAGTGACGGGAACATTGGACCGATTGGTAACTGACTTTTCATCATAGGTGCGATTGCTGTCTCTCCACATGTGAGGTCCATTTCGCATTTTCGATTTTGACTGAAGAACAACAGCAAAGCGTTGATTTTCTTCGTGTTCACCTGAATTTATAAGGTGGAAAAGATTTGAAATATTCATAGAAATCGAAAGTAATTCAAAAATCTGACACACCTCCTTCACAAGTAGCTCAACAACAGGGCTGTCCATGTGGATATGTGTGGCATGTTGTTGGAAAACTTTCAGCAACGATATCAATACCTTTACTTCTTTCCAATTTGGTTGTGAATCTAATGCAATGCCGAGTTCACTTGAACTCATTTCGCTCAATAATAGACAGCATGTTGGATGCCAAATTAACTCATCTGTAATACATTCCTTTCTAGTTATATTCTAATAAAACTGGATAAAAGGACAAAGCTCTCAACGTCGATCAATTCCTGAAGAATGCGCCATGCATTCGAGTTCACCAAGCATCGATAAAGGTGACTGATTACAAATCTGGCCTTTAAAATGATTTGCGGTGGCCTACTGATGTTTCAGTTCAGTGCTGTTTCCCTCCAATGCAGGTTTGGCACCAATTTGCCGACCCCAGAGAGATGGAAGGCTTAATTAGGGTGGGGCACGGGATCGAAACAATGTGTATTGCAGTACACCACTTCTAACCGCTGCTCAGCACGAGCCCCAATAAAAGTAAATAGACCAGAAATTATTAAGCTGTGATAAAATCACATATGCCTTCAAATCATGTTAGTAGTCAAGGGAGAGTTAGTCCATTGCGAAAGCGTACTGCAAAAACACTATAAAATGCAAGCAAAAGCTCCTGGGCCTACCAGTTACATCTTTTGAAGATTTTCGTTCATATAGTTTACATAAATCGTTATATACTCGAACATGAATTGTTGTATAACGCGAAAGACGACGTTTTGCCGCGATACGGAACTGTCGCGAAACACCGCGCCATCGTAGCACGTCCACCAGTGACGCGTTAGCGATGATTCGATCCGCTATTGCTAGAAGTGTTTGTGGATTTGACAATTCGGATATAGACTACCAGTATAGAAGCTAGAAAAACATACCGCTGTGATCTGTTCGTGAACTACTAGCGAACATAGAACAGCATGCACGACGTAGATTGTCATACACAGTTAGAGGAATGAGTGACATTCGCTTCAAAAAAAATTATAAATTATGAATAGTTGAAGGCAAATAATGCAAAGCCGAATCACTACACTCAGAATAGTTATGCGATACATGCGAATACTGTTCAAAGTTCCCTATGAAAGAAGCAAACATCAGGTTGGAAAAAACGTCGTCGATAGAAATCACGTGAGCGTTAAAGTGCACTGGAATGTGGTTTTTAATAATGAAAGAAGTTCCTTTAGAATTAAAAGAACACAAAATTAGCGCCAAATGATAGAACCTGATTCGGTGGGCATAAAGGAAAAAGCAAGACTGCTTCACCAAGGATCAGACCGCACGTCAACAAAATTAAAGATCACACAGCATCGGAGCGGAATTCATTCAAGAGAAACAATGAGACGTTCTGAATTGCCATTAATTTATAGATCTTATAAATAGCATCAGATTATTCGTTCTTAGTAAAATCATATTATAGTAAAGTTTTTTTCTTACTTCATTTAGAAGCTTTCGATGAAGAACTTCATAGGCTTAAACTTATAAAGAATATTATAAAGAATTCCCAGGATCGACTTTCTGTTAACCTCGGCATTAGAACATGAATAGCAGCGATGAATGCCCAGAGGTCAATTTCTGATGTGGGATGGTGCAGTCGTCAACCATATGCGACTATGATCAGCTGTTATAATCTTCCTCATTGGAAGTCACGTAAAAAGCGGTGAGTTCTTCGAGAAGCTGTTGATCATGTAATTATCATAGAGTTTTTCGTCTTTTTGTAAGTGTTATTGAAACGTTTGGCCTAGTAGATTGCATATCAGTATACCCTTCCATTTTCTGAAGAAGGCGATACTGCCGAAACGCTGAACAAGAAAACGACGATTCGCATTCCTATGCAGAGGTTAATAGAAAGTCGATCCTGGAAACCGTTCGTGCTTTTTTTTGTAATTTTGATTGCAATACACGATATTTAATTAATTTCAGATGGGTCACTCGTGGTACTCAGAAAACGTTCGCACAAAGGCACCCCTTTAAAGAGGATTACTACATAATTTCAACTAAACCGTTCCAACGATTCGTCCGACTACACAACGTTTTGCTTTTGTTTCAGAGGAAGGAACTACTACAGCGCGGAAACTGACTTTCAAGAAAAAAAGCTTGGATTGAAAAATAATGCCTCAACCCTTGATGAATTTAGTATTACCTTTTTATAAACACGTTTTACAAATTGCACAGGGACTATGCATAAATTATGACGGTCTTGCCTCCTTTCAGTGCCGTACTCTGCAACATTTTCTGGATGAGTGCCTCGACAGTAAGGTCGAATGACTCAAATAATAAGGAATGCTCGAAAAAACCAGAGAACTTAAATATAGTTCTCAATTCAGTGCATTAAACAGTTATAATTGTTCAGTCTAAACAGAGAAATAAAAATTACTGGTATCAAGCTATGAACTAAGTCACAAAAACCAAAGCGTTCACCGAAACTGAAAAAAGTCCTTAAACAACGTGCTGAAATGCATTATTCCTTTGACGAGCTTACACGATCAGCTACTCGGACCATCGGCTCTGATGAAGAAGAAGACGTCGAACCGTTAGCCGAAAATAAATATATTTATCAACGTCGTGTAAGATCATCAAGGAAAGAATGAATATTGAATAGTTACATCGAGGTTAAATGAAAGTCGGTTTCGAAATATTTTACTATGCTGAAAAGCTTTCTCCTTAACAGTCTGCTCTGTCATAATCGCTCTATGACAGGAATCCAAGAAAGTTTTGCCGGTGAAGCATGTCCGAGTCCACGTCGAATTATAGCGAAAGCTATAATATTTCCATCTCGAACGCTTAGCTAACATTACAGTTCTTCGATTCATGCACGTGTCTTGTTTCTTCGAGGATCAACCTCTCTTACATCCAACATCAGCTCATCTCGCAAGTTCTTACACAATATGAGATCTGAGTAGGAATCTGGAAGATATCAATAATAGTTGCCAAAAGAATGGTGTAATTTTTAGCTTAGGCTTCGCAAAGCAATTCAATTTGATATAGATACCGACCTTCTAATGATAACAATGATGCGAAGTATTGCGATATGATCACCAGGCAAGGAAAATTATCCGAAGAGGAACAGCACATACAATGGCGAAAATTACCATCGGTGAGGCTTTCTTTTCATATTTGGATCAATAAATCTATGTTCACTAAAGTATGTTATTCCATGGTGACGACAGTAAACAAATACAGGAAGACTGGGAACAATTCTTGCTGAGTTAACGCGAGGTTGTCATTAGTTCTTAAACAGTTTCAAGGGCCGACCTTTCGGCGATTTCGCTTTCCTCAGAGCACAAGCGTACTGTACACTCCTATCTCATTACTCGATTGGTATTCTCTAATCCCAATAAAAAGTTGGTTAGAGATATACTTTCTATCACAAGGGTTTTGAAAACATCGTCCGAAAACATGCGGAACCATATGCTGACTATAGTCAGCTGTTCTAATCTTCCTCATTGGGAGTCACGACAAAAACCGTTGAGTTTTTCGAGAAGCTGTTATCATGTAATTACCAATGAGTTGTTTGTCTTTTTGTCAGTGGTATTGAAGCGTTTGGCCTAATAAATTGTGCATCAGTATACCCTTCCAAGCTCTGAAGAAGGCGATACTGTCGAAACGTCAGCCAGCGTTGTATTGTATTGTGTTTCTCTATGGAAGTAAATGTATGCTGTTTAACAACCTCGCGATTGCTGAACAAGAAAACGACGCATTATAAGGGATAACCACTTTAATCCAGAGTGATTTATCTAGTGGAGCTTTTGTTATCAGCTTTATAGGCTTTTTAAATGTCTCAGTTTCTATCGATAACAATATGATCAGTAGAAGCTGCAAATGAATGGGGCTCCATGTGATGGCGCTGAAAACGTGCACTAATATCCACTCATCATCCGCACTGGGGAAATATCGATCCAAAAAAATATGTAAATAGATAATGTATCATTTAATCAGTACGAATGATTGCAGAAATTCCATACAAATGGGAAGGATTTAAAACAACTGATAAAGCGAAAGACTGCTGATAAAGTGTAGTTAGCAATTGAAACCTAGTAGTCTTTCAACTAGTCTTAGAATGATAGTGCTGAAAATGGTGACAACATGAGAATAAAGGATAGAATATGATATTATAAAGTAATAGAAATTAATACTGGTGCAGGAAAAGTCGATCATTGCTGTATCGGCTACGGAAACTCCATCTGGAGAAAGAATGAATGAATCCATAAAAGGATAAAAAATAGAGAAAATTTAGAAACATAGAAAGCGTTCATTGAGTTATTGATGGCAATTCAATCAATTCAGTCCATCCAGAGTGAGCTTTACGACACCAGTTTACAGTGAATAGTGCGATCAGCTGATTATATTAAGTTTCACTTTACAACTTTGTTTTAGCTTTTGAATTTTTGCAATAATTTGCGTTCAGTGTAAAATTTTGGAGTCCAGGAGTGAGAAAATGTGAAATGAATAAAATATTTCGTAAAACTTCGAAATTGGGCGTAGAAGTGCAAAAGAGTCCAAGGTTAAAAGACATTGCGATTCGCACTATTATATTCACGTTCCGTTGATTGCGTGACGAATCCTAGGAATCACTGTCATCGTTGAAGAATACTGGTCTTGGAATAGCTGGCTTCACTTCAACCTACAAGAGTGACTGCTCAAGGCGATGATCTGAAAACGCGTTAACATGGTTATCTAGTAAGAACCGAAAAGCTTCGACAAGAAACCAACATGTCAGCTGTTAGAGAGAGTGACTAAGCAAGCTATAATCGAATAAATCTCATCATTTCTATGCATGATGGTTGATGATTAACGAAATGAAAGAAGGAATTGATGGACTCGACGTTACGTGACGACAGGCCAAATATTTAGCTACTTATCTAAGTAGTATTATCAACAATACATTTATGCAAAGAACACCAAACAACGGAACCGTCCAACTTAGTTTTCAAACGTTTAATGAGTGAGGATGAGAGCTTTGACAAGAAGCCGCGATGGAAATTTGTTACCAACAATGATCATTTCGAGACGATAAGTGAAATCATGATTGCTGTTGTAGAGCTTGTAGGAGAACGAGGCTTGGATAAATATTTCGGATCATCTTGACTGAATTGTAAAGTGAAAGAAAAACTGAGAACTGGGTGCCGACTAGACCAAACGAGTGGAAAGAGCATATTTCCGCTGAGATCTTGCTTTTGTTTTGCACAACAGAAGCGATCTGATCCCTGATCTCTATATAAAATGTGAAGAAAAATGGATTCCATGCAGCAGCTGACGCTCTCCGACGTAAATTTGAGCAAACCTAAAGCACCGAAACACTTTCCGTATCAAATGTTCGGAAAAAGGCTTTAGTGGCCTCTTCGAGCTCATCAGATAATTGGATATCATCATTCACTAAAACGTTTGCAAACTTGGCGAAATCATTACAACGAAGGATTAACGGTGGCTGTGTTGATAAAACTACATGAACGTTACCGGAATTAACCATCAAATGGGACCACAACTACTCCGTGAAAAACCGTACCCACTGTACCCCACCCTTTTTCAAAAGATTGCCGAAAAACCCACCAATGATTTTAACTAGGAAGGTCTTCCTTTAAAAATATACTTAGGAAAAAACCAACTATTCTGACAAATAGGGATTCTTATAAGAACTTTGAAGACTAAATTGTGCTGAAGAAGACCTAGGAAGATTTTGAGCAATGAAGCTTAGGTAGCTGTTCTTTTATTGGTTATCAATAAAATTATACTTCTTAGAAACTACATGCAAATTCTACTTGCTAATATTTGCCAATGAAGAATTTCACTACTAGCGAAGTTTACTTCAAGTTGTAGAGTGTGAAATAGCAGAACTTCTTCAAAGACCTCATAAGTGTTGTGATATACAGTTACTTTTAAGTGATTACGGTAATATTCCAAACATATTTTAATGCAAGTTGTTTCCATAATTCGAAATTAAATGTGAAGCTCAGACGATCTGAAGTACTCACAGTGAGCCTGTGATAAGTAAACAGCTAACTGTTCCGAACCACTTATTAAGTTGCAAATAATTTCTTACCTTCTAATTTTTTTTGAAAACAAGAAAACTGGAAACGACCCTAATAGGGCTCTATTGACGTTTTTTTTCCTTTTTAAAACATGAACTAGCCTGATGCAATCAAACTTGTTTGAGCTGCAGTCTCTTGAGTGGAAGCCGTAATTTGTGAAGTCGCGAGAAGAAGAAAGAAAAGGAAAAACAAACGCGGAAAAGGTGGTTTTGACAGTGAAGCAGATATAAATTGATAAAATGAACAAATGTCTTTGATTGTAGATATATGAATGAGAAGGTGACGGTTACATACGACAATGCCGGTAGTAAAGAAATAACAGCTGACAAAGCTCAGTTCATGTGAAAACAGGCAGCCGAGTAAAACAACGTCTAATCGATAAATATCGAACGGAGACATACTATTTGAAATATAGTCGTAGTTTTCTTGGTCCGGAGCCATTTTTGGAAGTCGGACATTCTTGGATGAGGAGTTCACATCCTCGCGGAATTTCTCGAGCAGTGAAGGACTTTGAAAATTTCTTTGAAAATATCAGCTCTAAAAACAAAATATAACTGCGTAGGATTACAGAAATCCTCGCAATAATGAAGTAATTGGGTGGTGGTGACTAGCTGTAAAAATGACAGCAGAGCTTACGAGATTTCACGGAAAGAAAATTTTCTCTAACTAGCAAATTTCTGGTTTAGCAGTTCTGAGGCCTGCGTGATGCATTTGTTATTGATTTGTAAAGACGGGTCGTTGAACACTCAACTATTCAAAGAATTCAAGAACTTCAAGATATTGTACATATTCTACATATATATATACATAAACGTATGCATATATACAAATGTTCTTTTTACAGCCTCATCGTGGCTGAGGGTGTTCGTGGGTGTCATGTTGCGATGTACAGCGGGAGAATTCATCCCCTAGTAGGATCTCCCAAGCCGAGAAGGAGTCTGGTGTTTCCACCGTGTAGGCCAGCTAAGAGTGAACCCATACGAAAATCCACCTCCGTTTTGGTATCAAAGTAGTCATTGGAAAATCTCAGTCTAGTCCACAGGGATGGCGACTGCCAGTGGTTGTGGTGACCTGAGGTAGACTTCGGCGTGGCTGACCTCGGAACTACAACTCTAGGTAACCACAAAGGCTAAACTAGCAAAACTCGGAAAGAGTGGAAATTACA